GAACGGAACACTGCTTTTACAAATATTTTCTTTACATAATTCTTAGTTTACTTTGTTGTTTTGATAATGCAAATAAGGTCTAAAAAAAATAGCTGCAAAAAAAAAACTTATGAAATTTTTCTATAAAACAATGTATGAGATTAAAAAAAGATTTGGGTATTTTTTTGCTTACAACTCATTGCAATGTCTCACTGGCCAGACTGAAGTAGAGAAATGAGGCTTTTTTGTTGCTGGCTTTCATAATCTATATAACTGAAGTTAACAACCAAAAACTGCTGCTAAATAAAGGTGTTTGTAAACAGGCGGCATATAAACTACTATCATTTCAGGTGGCTGAAAGAAGGTGGAAGTAAAAGAAGGTTTTTTTCTTTTTTAAACCAACAATACTATTTGTTGCAAGAATATTGTTCAATAATAGCCTAATAGCAGAAGTTATTAACAGCAATAACAACAAAGAATTAAAAGTGTTCTCTTTGAAAAAAGTCATAGACTTGTTATAAGTGTACCCGAAGAAGTTTATGACTTTGGTTCACCATTAGGAGAGGAAAAAAACGAAGAGAGAGGGGGAGAGAGAGCGACGAAAAAAGATGGTGAGCATTTAGCTTCGTGACAGATAAGTTCAGTAGTTTAGCGTATGTTTGCAACCGTCTATCATCGTCATCGTCTGAAGTCTCTTAAACTTACAGAATCTTTTACGTTTTTATAATTTTTACGTTTTTTGTGGCATAACAGAAGGTAAAGATAATAGAAGGAACGGAGAGGGAGATGGAGAAAGGAGGAAGAAGAAAAAAAAAGAAAGAGATGAAAACGGAAAAAGGAAAAGTGGAAACTGTAAATGAGTGAACGAATATTGAGGTATGCAAACTATTCATTCTCGTCGTCAGTGTCGTTGTTGTTGCTGTTGTTGTTGTCGCTTGAATGTCTATGTTTGTTGCCTTATTTGCGTTAGTGTAAATATAATAAGTAAGCCGACCAAAAAGCGTTGAGAAGGCAGCCCCTAGCTAAAAAAACTCGCTCATCGCCATCATCATCGGCATCAGCATCAGCATCATCTGTCTGTACAATTTTCTATGGGCTTAATACTACTAAACTGACTGAATATGGCGAGTACAAGAAAAAAAATTTTTTTTTCTCAGTTACTCCTGCCTCTTCTCGAGCTTCTCTAACTGAACATACATACAAATATATGTATATTTATACATACAAATGACGCTTCTAGCAGCCAGTCTTTGCTACATAACCACTAGCACACTACCTACTTTACCTCGTCGTCGTCGTCCTCGTCGTTCTCCTCAAATAAACATACAAACTTACACAAAAATATGCAGACACGCAACTGCAGACACAGACACGGACACTTAGAAATACAGAGCTTTCACATCCCCGAGTATAGTCAGTCAGTTGGTTAGTTGGTTGAACAGTATTCCCCAAATGTTTACAAACAATTCAAATAATACCCGTTGGCCGACGACAGCAGAGAGACTGGTAATGACTTCACCATCGCTTGGTTTAGTTTTTTCTTTTTCTAGCTCTCCCCCTTCCATCATCTACTGCCATCACCGCCACCCGTAAAACTATCTACTCCTTGCTCAAAATAACAAATTTTGAATTTCGTTACAGCTTCTTAAAAAAAATTTTTTTTTCTAGTTTTACCGCTTATCGCTATACTGTTATCATCAAAAAACCGTTATTCAACTGTACTTGTTATGTTGATTTCGTTCCTTATGGTTTTTTTTTTTTGTTTTTTATTGTTTTTTTTTCGTTGTTGTTGTAATTTTCGCTGTAGTCGTTGTCTCGGTCGTCATAATAGCCGTCGTTGTTGTCATCGGTGACAGTGGTCTTTACCACAGTGACAATATTGGCAATGCATGTGGTCATAACAGATTTTTTAGATTTCTTTTTTTCAACATTTTTTAAATTTTTTGATCTTTTTTTTTCTATTGAGTTTTACAGTAATTTGCCAATCTTTTCACTTTTTGGAATTTTATTTTAATTTTCTTTTTTATAATTAAAAGGAGAAAGTCAGTAAGATGCTTTGACAATTTTCCTACCCTGTATTTGAGCAAAATATAGGCTTCTTTTTGCTTGTTGTAAAAGCATATACGTTTTTTGGTATTTGCTGGAGCATTTTATTCTGTTGATTTATATGTATCAGCACTGAAATTCAAAAAGTTTTACTATAATTCTTTTCCAAACAAATACTTCATTCTGTAAAAGTAGCTGCTCAAAGGGGGAATGAAGAGAGGGGGAAGGAAGAGTAGGATAAGCGGGAAAAAACGACTCTATAAACCATATTGATTTAAAAAATTGAATGATACACGTAATTGGAAAAAAAATAACTTGATTTTACTACCGAACAATATTATTTATATTGTATAAAATGATTACATAAGCTGTATTTTTGTTGGAGAAGAGGAAAAAAATCGATGAAAAATTGGTGAGTAAAATTCATATTGGTCATTCGGTTTTTTTTTTTTTTTGTTGTTGTAATCGTTGTTTGTGTTCATGCAGTCAGTTGATCGTTCATCGCAGAAACGGTATTTAGTATTATCAAAAAAAGAAAATTAGTTACAGTTAGTTTTGTCGTTGAATAGGTCAGCTGTCTGATTTACAAACACAGTTCTTTTTTCACTTTTTTTGATCTTATTGTTTTGTCAGCTGTTTTTACAAGTTTTATGTTATTGCTGGTGTTTTTTTTGGCTTTGCTTTTTTTTTTCGCTATTATATTTTATTTTTAATTATTTTGATGCATGATTTGTACTACTGACTGATTTCTTCTTTTTTCTTTTTCTTTTTTTATCAACTTGTTTAGCACAAATTTTTGCAACCTTATCGTTGGTGTTCTTTCTTGATGTTGTAGTTAAAATTTCAGCTGGAGCCAGTGTTTTTGAAGTAATAAATTGTGCACACCTAAACAGTGTTTTGAGGATTCTGAACGTGTGGCTGCTAGCCAAACCCGGCCATGTCAGTGCCACCGTCGCGGGCACAATCCGAAGTCTTCTCGGCATCGCAGTATGGAGGTCCGGCTTCCACCCGGCAACGGCCGGCCATAAATCATTTTATTTTACCCACATTTATCTTATCCGTTGTTGGATTGGCCTGCTTATGGGCACTATGGTACTACATGAGGTCAGCATTTCAGTTTAGCAGCTTTCTAAAGAGGCGAAAGAGAGATAGTAAAAGAAGGATGAACTGTTGTTATTAGTTTTTCCCAACTTATTATTACTAACATTTTTTCTTCATTAAAATTTATTGAAACTTTTAGTTATTAGCTTTTTTGGAGCTTATAACTGAATAATAACCAAATAAATGTCATTCTTTTGTTATTGTATTAAATTGAAATTTTGAATATTTAAGTAACTTAAGATGAGAACTTATTGATTATGATCGATTTAATAAGGGAACGGTGGCTGACAGAATCAATGGTGGAATATACTACAACAATTGATTACTTTTACTTAGAACTAGTTTTAAACAGCATTTTTTTTTCTGGAATTTTTAATCGACTTTTAATTTTGTTTCAGCTTTACATCAGTGTTTCCTTATCACCACCGAGTATTTTACTGTCGGGACATACACTTATATAAACCTAATTTTCGACCTGAAGATTTTGAAGTTTACGTATCCTATGCACTACTCTATACACTCGGTTTTGCTCTTCCACCAGTTGTGGTCAGTTATTTTTCATACTTATTCTTCTCTTCTTTTTGCTGCTATCAAAAAAAGGGTAGAGAAAAGAAGAGCAAAAAAAAAATTGATCGAGTAAAAATCGTTTGATTGAAGCGATATTTTCGTTTTGGATACTAAAAATTCTTGTATTTGTATTGTAATCTCGACAAACAAGACAAATTATTTTTTTTTTGTTCTTGTCAAGAGCAATTTTTGTTTAACGTCAAATTAGTAGCACCAATTAGACATGAGTGAGATGGTGAAAAGATGGAAAGATGTGGAGTACATGGTGTACACTGGTCATCGGTTATGCCGTAATTTACTGACAAAGTCGAGACCCAATGCTAATGAACATTCCAAAGTACAACCAAAAATCATCGGGTTCTGGATAGAAAAAAAGAACCAGCAATATCAGTATTACAAATTTACTTAAATTGATTACCATTTGACATACTGTTTTTGGTGTTGGCAATTTTTTTGCAACAATAAACAGTTTATACAGAAATTTTTTTGAAAAGAGGTTTTTCTTATTTATTTGCCGTTAAAGTAGAAAATTTGTTCGCAAAATATAAGAAGCCTTAAAGAAAAATTTTAGATAAATGCCAACTTTTCTAACTTTTTTTTCCCTCGTTTTGCCTTTTTTTTTTGCTTATGGCTTATAAGGCAGTCTAATTTTTGTACATCTGTAGCTAATGGTTTTAAACGAAGTGGTTACGAGGACGGAACTCTGCTTAGTCTGTTCCCTCTAACCGCTTCCATCCCCTTAACCTCAGTCGTCGTCACTCGTCCCGTTCAGCGATTCGTTTGTGTGGCTGACAATAGGAAAAACAAATTAAGTAGGGGGGGGGGGGAAGATTCACTTATTTTTGATATTTTTAACTGTTAAAAAAATATTTTGTACAGTCAAATACGTATTGTAATGTAAATTTTTTTCATTATAGAAAAATTACATTTAGTTCTATCGTTGTTTATGGAAAAGTATAATTGTAACCAAAAATTAAGCCACTGAAAATAGGCTATATTGCAATGTTGCTGTTTATACCGTAACGAGAAACTTTTATAAAATTTAATATTGATAAGCAGAATAATTTTGCAAACTATTAAAAATTATAAGCATTAATTTGAACTATACATTTTCTGCCGGTATCGGTGGCAAAAGCACTTATATCTGCAGTATATTCGATGCAGTTTGGTGTGCTAAGATGTGTTAAGATATGATGAAGTGACGACGTATGAACAACAGAGGTCACCCATCTATGGTCTATAGCCTTCTTATTCAGGAGGTACTTCAGCGTAGAAGCATATCATTTCTGATAGTTCCTTGATTGTCAAAATAAAAACATTGAAGAGTTTAAAGGGTGATGAACGATTAAAAAGAAACAAATTTTACAAATATTTATTTTCCCAATACGTTTGGTTAAACAACAATTGGACCACTTTTTTTTTTTTTGCTTCAGCTTATGAGGTCAATCGTAGTTTTTTTTTTTACTTTATTAATTTGCTTTAAGTAAATACAAAAATGTCAGTAATGTATAGTGAAAAAAAAATCAAGCATTATCGATATGATACTATTAATAAAAAAGAAAGAGAAGGAAGGTGTGTCATTGCTGCTGTTATTTAATGTTCTTACAAAACCTTATACAGCAAGACTGTATATGATTCAGTAATTTTTCTGCTATTTATTAGCTTAAATTTTTTTACCAAACTGGAAAATACGCAAGTTTAAATGAAGCAAATAGAAAAACGAAGTTTTAAAACAGTTGTTATAAGTTAAATAATTCAATGTAAAAGAAAAGTTGGAGAGAAAGACGGGAAAATAACGACAACAGTTAAAAGACGGTATAAAAAGTTGTACAGTATCTGTTGCTTTTATCATTCTTTTAGCAGCAACAACAATAAAACACAATAATACATTTATCGTAACTGCTTTTTAAACTTAATTAATTGATGTATAACTGAGCAGGAAAAA